CGAGCCCGCGTCCGGCCCTCCGAGCCCGCGCGCCGCCCACGCCTTCCTCCCTCGCCGCGCCGCCCACCTCCTCCTCGCCGTCGTCGGCGACCGCCGCCCCGCACCGCCCCGATCCGCCTCGTCGCCGGCGGCCGCCGCACGCACCTCGCCGCCGCCGCCATCGCCGTCCTCGCCAAGTCCGGCCACCGACAAGCCCCGTGTTGCCGGATCCGGCTACCCCCGTCTCCTCCGGCCATCTATAGTGATTCCGGCAAGATCTCGGTCGTCCTCGGTTCGCGTGCCCGGACGAACCCTAGATCTGAGACGGTTGACTTTTGCCTCAGTCCCAGTAATTTTTAGCGTTTTTCATCGCATCATAACTTTACATCTGTGGCTCCGTTTTGGGCGTGTAGCATATCAAATTGTTCGCCTTGACGAGTACTTCATTTCATTCCATTGCACCATATTTATATAAGCTCATCTTGATGCCCTAAATACTGTTGCAAGAGTTCTATGCAATGTTAGTTTTAGATTCTTATCAGTAATTGGACATTTGTCATTTTTGCCATGATTAATGTGTGCCTCCTATGAACTTGAGCCCTACATGTGTTTTGAAGTATGTCATGCCATCTTTACAGGGGTGTATGCCATATATTTTTGTGATCTCTGTGGTGACTAGCACAAGCATGCAAAGTAGCTCTCGTAATGTTGCTGATTTCAGAGACTTAGAAATTTTCTAAGTCTTTTCCCTGATAATATTTTTATGCCATGTATTCTTATTGCTACAGAGTGATACATGCCTCTTTTGAGCAGGTTCAGTAAGGATGTTTTGTAGATATTGCTGTGCTCTATCCATCCATGTCTTTGTTTGCAATTATTGAGCACCCTAGCTTGACTCAATCAAGCTCTACTTTTGCTATAAAATGTTCCTGGCAGATTGTTTACATGTTAAGCAATTTTGCCGAGGTTGTTGTAGTTGATCCATGCATGCTATGAGGTTGTTCTTGCCATGTTTAGCTTCTATGCCATGTCTACTTGCTGTGTGTATGCTTAGTTTGTCATGCCATGCTTTGTGGTGAGTGCATCGAGCTCGTAAACATGCCTACGTGAATCTGTTTTTGCCATGTTCCAGTTTTCTACTAAGTCTGAATCTGTTAACGAAAGTTGCTATGTTCACATGGTTGCCATTGTATTTTCTGATCCCTTTTGGCTTATGGTCAGTAAGGGACTTTTGTTGTATACTTTGAGTAGCTTCATGCCATGCCTTGCTTTGCCATGATATGTTCCTGTAGCATGTTGTTATCTTGATCTAAACATTGCTTCCTGATGTTAAATTCCTGACATGTTATTTTCTCTAAGTCTGTAACCTGTTATCTTTTGCACTTTTGCCATGCTTGTTTGAATCTGCTATTGTGTGAATTAGCCGTAGCTCAGTGTTCATCTTTTGTCAATCATCTTGAGTGGATCACTACATGTGCTTTGTTGTTATGTTAGAGTGCAATAGCTTGTTGTTCTTGATGCATTTAGATGGCCTCGTGCTGTTAATTGCAGATCGGTGCCATATTTGTTTTGCTTGCCATTTGCAAACCGTGCATCCGATTCCGGTGATCTTTATATCGATTTCGACCGAAATCAACTCATCTTTCCAGTGGCACTCTTGGTTTTCCAAGTAGAGGCCAGGTTCAATCTTTCCTTTCCGAAGCATGCATATGCATCGCATATCACATCCCGCATATCATGCCATGTTTTGCATCATGTTGCTTGTGCATTGCACGTGGTTGATTGTGTCTCCCTTTGCTTGTGTTCTTGCTTTGGGTAGAGCCGGGAGACGAGTACGTGATCGAGGAACCCGTTGAGTACGCTTACGAGGATCAAGCTTACGTCAACTCGGAGAACTTTGCAGGCAAGATGACCATACCCTCGAAATCACTTCTATCTTTGCTTGCTAGGTGCTCGCTCTTTTGCTATGCCTATGCTACGATACCTATCACTTGCTTATCATGCCTCCTATATTGTCATGTCAAACCTCTAACCCACCTTGTCCTAGCAAACCGTTGTTTGGCTATGTTACCGCTTTGCTCAGCCCCTCTTATAGCGTTGCTAGTTGCAGGTGAAGATTGGAGTTTGTTCCTTGTTGGAACATGTTTATTGTTGGGATATCATTATTATATCTTGTCTACTTTAATGCATCTATACACTTGGTAAAAGGATGGAAGGCTCGGCCTTATGCCTGGTGTTTTGTTCCACTCTTGCCGCCCTAGTTTCCGTCATACCGGTGTTATGTTCCTTGATTTTGCGTTCCTTACACGGTTGGGTTATAATGGGAACCCCTTGACAGTTCGCCTTGAATAAAACTCCTCCAGCATGGCCCAACCTTGGTTTTACCATTTGCCACCTAGCCTTTTCCCTTGGGTTTCGCGGACTCAAGGGTCATCTTTATTTAAACCCTCGGGCCAGTGCTCCTCTGAGTGTTGGTCCAACCTAGAGCACCGTGCAGGGCCGTCCCTTGGCAACTTGGGTTACGTTGGCTCCCGTATGCTTAGCTTATCCGGTGTGCCCTGAGAACGAGATATGTGCAGCTCCTATCGGGATTTGTCGGCACAACGGGTGGTCTTGCTGGACTTGTTTTAC